CCTGCGGCACTGGCGGACAGAGAAGCGGCGGGCCGGAACGCGGTCGCTCTGAGGAAGCGCCGACTCCAATGGCGGCGCGGCGACGGCGACGGCGGGGACGAGGCTGCGCGGACGTCAGCGCGCGCAGAGCAAGCCGGGAGCGCTACGATAGCCGCCACGCGCCGTGCCACGCCTGCGCGCTGCCGCCCTGCGGAACTTATTTCTCTCCCGGGTCCCAGGGTCGCGCGGAGGTTCGGGAAAGGGTGCGTGAGGCGGCGAGCCCGGGAAGTCACGTGAGACGCTTCCGGCTGCGCCGCGGGGCTAGCGGGAAACTGGCGGCGGCCGCAGGTGGGCGGTGGCCTCAGGCGACGACAGCGGCTGGAATAACGCTGACGAAGACCCAGCACGATGTGCTGACCTCTGAAGAAGCAATAGGGCCTCTCCAAGCCCACGGAGCTAGGATGTGTGGTCCAACCCAGCTATGTACCAAAAAAAAAAAAAAAAAAAAAAACCACTGCCATCCAGTGGTTCGGACTCATAGCGACCCTATAGGACAGGGTAGAACCTGCCCTAGATGGTTTCCAACGCCGTGTATCTTTATGGAAACACACCTCTGGTGGATTTGAACCACCGGTCTTTGGGTTATCAGTCAAATGTTTCAACCCTTTGCTACCAGAGCTCCTTTTCAGCTCTGTACAGGAATTCGGATGTCTGTTCCCCCTGTAGCTCCCTCCCCAAAGGGTCCCCACCAAACCCTCCCAATACCGGCCCCCCTGGCGGCCTGTAATGAGATGCTGTATCACTACTCCGAGGAGAGCATGGACGTGCCCCCTGGGCTTCACAGCCTTGTCGGTGGTCGCATCTGCAGCTGTCCTGGCAGGAGGCCTGGGCCCCTGCCTCCCTGAGGTCGTTTAATGAGTGCTGCTGGGGCTCCCGGGGCTTTGCTAGCTTGTACCCAGTTGGCCAGGTAGGTTCTGCACAGCCTTACCTGTGCAGCTGGCCCTGCTGTGCCCAGTTCAGGACCAGCCCCGAGAGCTTTTGATTTTTGTTCAGGGTGGACAGGCCACCCCTTGGCTTCAAGGCCAGGTGATGCCTGTGCCCATCCCCAGTCCCCCGGGGCCACAGCCGGTGGTCCCTCTGGCTCAGGCATTGCTCTAGGCCCCAGGCCCATCCCAGTCCTGTTCACACAGGCGTGGGAGTCAGTCTGTCTGCTTCCACCAGCCTTGGTAGGTGTGTCATCCTCCTGCCGCCCAGGGCTGGGTCCTGACCAAGAGGAGTTTTCTGTGGATGATCTCTCTCTGGAGACGGGAGATGGGAGGAGACCTGGAAGGCCAGCTCAGGTGGCATGCCAGGCAGCAGTCCCAGGGGGCTGCCCAGCAGCGAGGTCATCAGGCAAGTGATGTGCTGTGAGTGGCAGTGGTGACCCAGAGTCACAGGGCTCCCCAAGACAGGGCCAGAGCCCAAGGCCAGCACTGTAGGCCCAGGGGGATCTGGCCGGATGGTCCCCTGACAACAGTGCTCATCTCCGTGGAGACAGACATGGCACTGTTGGCCAGTCTTGACAAGGAAGGGGGTCGCTGAAAGCATGTCTGCTGAATCCAGTTCTGACCCAACTGCAATGCAGCCGCCCTGGGCAGAACCAGCCAGAGTTAAGCTGACCTCACAGGTCAGAGAGCACAGTCCACCAACTGCCGAGTCTGAGCAGCTGAGACTTGGTGGTCTGCTGTGCACTTGTGGCGTGACTACCTGGTTCTCGAATCCCCTGCCCAATGAACGGCATCCAGGAGGTGAGCCTTATCACAGACTCAGCTTCTTTTGCCAGTGTCCCAAGTGACTGCTCTGTTGTTGTTGTTGTTGTTTGCCGTCGAGTCGGCACACTCATAGTGACCCCTCCTTGGGTTTCCTAGGCAGTATCACTACAGAATTAGGATTTCCCAACCATCCTTCTGAGTGGCTTGTGGTTTGAACTGCCAGCCTTCTGGTTAGCAGTCAAGTGCCTTAGGCACTGTGCTACCAGAGCTCTGTTGTTGTTGCTGTTGTTGTTATATGCCGTTGAGTCGGCCCCGACTCATAGCGACCCCTCCTTGGGTTTCCAAGGCAGTATCACTACAGAAGTAGGATACCAGAGCTCTAGGACAGCCTAATTAATCGGCTCACAGGCTTGACTTCCTTTAATTCTCTACAGGGGGTACAAGTATTGCTTCATTTTGCAGATATGGAAACTCAGGCTCAGAAAGGTTGATTCACTTGCCCAAGGTCACACAGTCAGAGTGGCATAGCTGGAACTTGAACCTGGACACTGGCCTCCCAGCCGGACCCCGGCCCTCAACGCTGTGCTGCTCCTGGGTCGAAGCACACCACAGATCCTGACATACTATCCCACCAGGGCAAGGAGACTGCATTAGACTGGGTTTTCTAGAGAAACAAAACCAGTATACAGAGAGAAAGAGAAATTTATCTTAAGAAAATGGCTCACACACTTATAGAAGCTGACAAGTCCAAAGGTCTTGGATCAAACGTCAAGCTGGAGGCTTTTCCCAACTCACACAGCTGCAGAGGCTGAGCTCAAGGTTGTTGTTGTTGTTATGTACCGTCGAGTCGGACCCGACTCATAGCGAGCCCTCCTTGGGTTTCCGAGGCAGTATTACTATGGAAGTAGACTGCCCCATCTTCCTTCCAAGGAGTGGCTGGTGGGTTTGAACCGCCAGCCTTCTGGTTAGCAGTCAAGTGCCTTAACCACTATGCTACCAGAGCTCAAGGTTAACAGGCAGTATACTGGCTGATGACCCCAACAAATGACGAATCTAAGATCTCCAGGCCAAATGGTGGATTGTTCACTCACGGACAGCTGTAGGCAGCACAACAGGATCCCAATCCACAGAAGAGTGTCTCTTTTCCCAGGATGTCCGTAACTATACTGGAAGCAGGCCACACCCCCCAGGGAAACTCCCTTTCAGTGGATTGGCTGCTCAAAACATATACAACTAATCCCATCATTGAAACAACCCACATCACAATACCTTAAACCACACAATTGTGGTCCAGCCAAGTTGACACCCAGCTCCAACTATCACAGAGACCCAGCCGGGTCAGGCCTGGGCCTCATCACCTCTGGCTTCAAGGGAGGGGGATTTCCAGGGAAGCAGGTACCAGCTCAACACAAGGAGGGACTTTCTTTGACAAGTCACTGGACTGCCTTGAGAGGTAGTGATCTCCCCATCAGCACAGGTGTGCAAGGGGAGGCTGGCACCCACTCACAAGGAAGGCATGTTGGAAGGAGGGCACTCACATCTGACCCGGGTAGGCCAGGGGCAAGGTTTCCAACCCAAGCCTGGTGACTCTGTGGTGGGGGCTGTGCACTGTAGGGGTGGTCAGCCACACCCCTGGCCTCCACTCCCTGGTGCCAGTAGCACCCAGCCCCAAGTTGTGACAACCAGACATGGCTCCAGGCACAGCAAGATGCCCTTGGCAGTGGGGCAAGGGGGCAAAGAGCAAAAGGAGTCTTCTCCATTGAGAGCCCAGACCAGGTTTATCCTGCACCCACAAACGCCGCTGGGATGCAGCCCCGCTGATCCACCTGAGCGGGCTTCTTTCGGGGCCCACAGAGGCCTCCACCAGCCCCGGGGCAGAGGCCAGTTGAGACTTCAGAGAGCCAGCAAGCAGGTGGCCCAGAGGCACCCCATCCCCACCCAAGGGAGTCATGGACATGGGGTAGTCCTAGGGCAGGGCTGTGAGAGTCTGAACACAGACCCTCTGGGAACACTGCTCCTCCTCCTCGCTCCCATCATTCAGGCAGGAAAGGGTGGGGGCCAACCTGGGCCTGGGCCCGGGCCCTTGGCCTCTGGGAGGGGTAACAACCCCCTAGAGGGGTGAGTGTTTGGACTGTATGAGGCCTGCGCAGCCCTTCGCCAGGGCAAATGCCCTAAGCTCCAGTCACTGGTGTCTGTGCCCATGTATGCCCCAAGAGCCATCCAGGTCATTTAGCCTCCAAGTAATAGGAACGCTGGTGAGGTTACAGGAAATTGGGTCGTCGGACATTGGGGGCGGGGGGGCTATAAAATGGTGCGGCGCTGCAGCGAACAGTGACTTAAAACAAAGCGTGGCACAGGGTCAGCTCCTGGGCCCCTCTATAGATTGACATGGTGGTGGGCTTGCACGCATTCACTCTCTCCCTCCCTCTCTCCCCTGCCCATAAATACCTGTGATGCTCCTGGTCCAGGCACCGAGGGGCCCTCAAGGAACAGCACAGACCAGACCCCGTCCTCCAAGCTGACAGTCCCCTGCCTGGGCCTCGACCGGCCACACAAAGCTATAGTCCAATTGTGGTGGCTGACCTGGTGCTCCTGCTGGTGGCGGCGAGAAGAAGCCGGGGGAACAGAACAGGTCAGCGCCCACCGGCAGCAGTGGACACCCAGGCTGCACTCAGATAAGCAGGCAGGACGTTGCAGGCTCTGAGGCGGGTGGTGGTGGGATGTGACAGAGGTCCAGCAGAGTGAGAGGCAGGTGCTGAGCACAGCCACTGGCCTCTGTCCCTGCTGTTCCCCTCCCCAGCCTCTTCCACCCACATGTGCACTTCCTGGCCTCAGAAGCCAGACCCTTTTGTGGCCTCCAATGTACTTGGCCTGTGGTCACATAATGGCCTCACCTCTGCAGCCAAAGGTGGGGGTTGCTCCTATGCCTGCCAGGCTCCTGAGACCCCCAGTGGTGGAGGGTCAGCTGCCTGTGCAAGGAGTGTGGGCATCTCCTCTCTCAGCCAGTAGAGGGACGTGAAGAGCGGTGAGGGCACCTGCTGCCCCTTGCAGGGAGCAGTTTGCCGGGACCACCCAGGCTGGGCAGTAACCTAGTGTCCAGGTGCTGAGCCTCCTGGGGGGCTGGAAGGCTGGGGTAGGAGGGGTGAGGGCGTGGGGAGGTGGGAGGAAAGGGGGACTCGAGGCCTGGGCAGGGACTAGGGTTTCCTACAGCCCTCCCCCCATCCTCTTCATCCTCCTTGTACCTCAGCCCCAACCCCCACACCTTCTCCTGTTCTCCAGTGCTGTTATAACACAAATACCACAAGGGGATGGCTTTAACAAACAAGAATTTATTCTCTTACAGTTCAGGAGGCTGGAAGTCTGAATCCAGAGTGCCTGCTCTAGGGGCTGGGTGAAGGCCCTCGACCTTGGGCTTCAGCTGCGCCTTCCAGGCCCAATGGAGCAAGCTGGAGACTTCTGACTCACGTGGCTGCTGGCTGCTGAGGCTGATGACCCAAGATCGGCAGTAAAATGGCAGATTGTCGGCTCACAGGCTGCAAAGGCAACAATTCCAAGGTCGGCAGGCAACACAGCAGGCAACCAGGAACCGGAGATAGAGACAGAACCACATGCAGGGTCCTTTCTGTATGTACCGGAAGCAGGCCACACCCCAAGGCAACTCCCCCTGACCTGGTTAGCAGTCACAGCAGATTCCACCACGGAGGTGATTACAGCATGTCCAGTCTCCCCATGAGAAATAACTGCATCCGGCTGCCAAGCCACTCAGACTCACGGCCAAAATCAATTCCACAGGGTCCCAGCTCAAAGGCCAGGCAGGGGGTTCTAGGAGGGGACTGGGCCCACTTCCTTTTGGTGGGACCATCCTGGGTCTCCCACGGCAACATGACCTCAGCCAAAGGGGACTTCTCTTCCTTCTGAGCCACAGCTGCTCTCCTGGTCAGAAGCATCGGGATGTTCCCAGGCTCCAACTCAGTCCTTTTATCTCCACTGAAACACCCAATACCCTCCCCTCTGAGGGAGACCCATTTATACTAAAGTATTAGTGACTCACCGTGCCTTCCTGGAGGTCAGACGTTGGCTTTGAGGATCTCTCTCGTGGAGGAAGGCCCTTGCCCACAGAACTACTCTAGAAGGCCTACCCACCTGCTACCTGCTCACCCACTCGTCCTGAAGTGGAGCTGCAGCCCATCCGAATGGCACAGAACGAAACTTTAGTGCAGGTGGGTGTGGGAGCCTGGGAGCCAGCTGACAATGATGCTGGGCCCCGCCCCACTGGACTCTTTCTGCCTCCGTGGCCAGGCTCTGTCAGCAGGGGGAAGCCCCCAACATCCTCTCATCTAACCCCAGCTGGCTCTGAATCTTGCCTAGCCCACGAGCAAACAGCCATGGGGTCTTGGGTCTTCTGTGAGTCCCTGCTCCACCAGGGTCTGGGGGGCCCACCTGCAAACGGGAGTGCTGACCGACCCAGCGGCATCTTCCTGGGAGGGTTTAACCCTAAAGACTCACAGTGACCGCGCGTCGTCAAGGTGAGCGCTGCAAGGCGCTGTCATGTTATTAACAGACAACGTTCAGTAGCAACAACCGGCGAGCAGTTACGCGAAGTGTTGAGAACGCACCTGCTTCCGCTTCACTGCACCGCGCGCGGCCTTGGGCTTCGGAAACCACCGCGGATTGGCAGGCCGCGGCCGAGCATGCGCAGGAGGGCCTACTCGGTCCGCCCCCTGGGGAGGAGCCTCCGGGAGCTGTAGCCCCGCCCCTCGAGCCCAGGAGTGGGCTCTGGCGCCCCCCACAGGCCGACGCGGCGCGTGCTTGGACTCAACTCGCTGCGGTCCAGTGCGACTCCTAGCGAGGCGCCATCACCACGGAAGTAGAGGGTTTACGTGTTCAGTGTTCCCCCAGAGTGTGTCCGCCGTGAGCGCGGGAGCTTGCGTTCAGCTGTCTTCTTTCAATTCCCAGCCGCACAGGGGCTCCACGTTTCCGGAAGTCGGGAGCCGACCTCCCTCCCTGCCTCCCCCTGCCGGGCAGCTCGGTGGCTTTCTTCCGTGGGGTTCGGGATTCAGTTCACTGACCAGCTGAGAGAAATGCCTCTTTTGGTTCTGGAGGGGAGAGGAGATTCCGCAGCGAGGTTTGGGGGCGCTGAGCTTGCACATCCCTCCGGCCAGGGGGTGGGCACTGCGGAGGTGTCCCTTAGTTTGTGACAAGAAAAACCACGCTGGAGTTCTGGGGGTGAGGGAAACGCCCTCACGGTCCCCAGGCCCCCTCCCCTGTGCCCAGGACGCCCTGGGTGGGTGGGGGAGCCCTGCCCTTCCCTGGGCAGCCTAGGAAGGCCGAGTGACCCCGGCACTGCGCTAAGTGGGGGGCGGGGGCTGGGGGACATGCTGTGCCAGGCTGCAGAAGATCCTCCTGTGTCCCTCACCTGCCCCCAGGGCATTCCACCACCACCACCTGCTCCAGCTGCCTGGGCCCAGCTCTGGACCCAGCTGGATTCCGGAGGCAGGCCCAGGAAGTAGCTGGGCGCTAACTGCTGCTGGTACCCACCTGCCTTCACCTCAGTTTCTGGTAGGAAACCAGCTGGCTTTTGGTCTCTGATGAGAGATTTGGGGGACTCCCTAGCACCCTGGGAACGTCTAGGCTGAGGAGCTGGTGCCCAACATAGTGCCAGGGACCTCTGCAGAGGGCAAAGCTCTCCTGTCCAGCTGGGACAATGAGCATGGACTTGTGGGCAGGCAGGGTCATAGGCACAGGTGTGCATAGGTACATGGGGCAAGTAGGTGGGCTGGTCTATAGGAACAGGTGTGCATAGGTACATGGGGCAAGTAGGTGGGCTGGTCTATAGGAACAGGTGTGGGCAGGTACATGGGGCAAGTAGGTGGGCTGGTCTACAGGAGCAGGTGTGGATAGGTACATTGGGGTAATTAGGTGGGCAGGTCTGTAGGCACAGGTGTGCATAGGTACATAGGGGCAAGTAGGTGGGCTGGTCTTAGGAGCAGGTGTGGGCAGGTATATAGAAGTGGAGGGAGGTGGGCAGGTAGCTGTTGGCAGCTCTGTCCTCAGAGGTGAGTGAGGGCTGGTTAGGAGGCTGCCCCACCACCACCACCTGGGCATGACTGGACTGTCTGCTGTCTCTGTGGGCCTCAGGGCTGGTGGCTGCTGAGTTGGCACTGGGCGTTTCCACTGTCAAATGGGCCCAGCGTTAACCCTCTCCTGCTCTCTGTGGCTCCCCGCAGCAGTGTGCCTTGAGCCACTGCTGGGGCATTTTCATTCTTTGTTTTAAATACTTGGTCGTGGGCAACAACGAAACCAGGCTGGGGCACGAGCAGGGAGAGCGAGAGACAGGGACAGGGAAAGCTTCCAGGTCTGTCATTGGAAGGTGCCAGACCACAGCTGTGGTGGGGGCATCTTGGCTCCCTCCCACATAACTTCCCATTTGTGGCCTTGTACCCCCATCCTGCCCACCTGGGCTCTGGCTTCCCTGGGCTCCAGGATCCCTCTCTTAAGTGCCCTGAGCCTGGGCTGCTGGGCAGAGACCCTGTGGCCCTGACCAGGAGGGAGGCCAAGCCTGCCTAGGGAACTGGGGTGGGGGGTACGTGGGGAGGCTCAAGGGGAGTGGCTTTGACCTATTTCTGGTGGAAGCACAGTTCCAAAGCCAGGCTGCCTGCCAGGACCAGGGGCTTCTCCCTCAGGGCCAGGGGCTACTCCCTACCAACAGTTCCCCCAGGGAGCAGGTCCTGGGGCACCCCATCAGTAGCCAGCAGGGAAGGAAGCATGTGCCAGGCCTGGCAGAGATGGGCCAGCACCGGGCCCCGGGTACCCCGGGGAGATTGAGGAATGGATGGTTGGAAATGCAACCCCCTGCCCAATGACCCTGGGTAATTGCCAGTTAAAATGAAGTGGAGGTGTAGCTAACTCTCCAGGCCTAATTCCACCCAGGAAGGCCTTCAGCAGAAGGCAGGAAGAGTGATGGGGGCAGTGGGCTCAGGCTCTGCTCCCTCCGTCCCCCCAGGACCTCTGAAGGGGACCAGGCCCCATCGGAGAGCCAGGCCTCGCAGCTGGGCAGGGGAGATGTTCTCAACCCCTCGCAGGTGCAGGACTCAGAGAAGAACAGCTAGGTCAGATCTCCCCCAGCCGTGTGCACCCATGGCCCTGCCTCCATGCCCCCACCTGTGGGGGGGGTCCACCCCCTGCACCCTGGGCACTAAGCACTGTTGGTTTCTGCAGAGGTTGCACCCAGCACCCAGCCTGGGACCTGGGGGCCTCCCAGCAGCACCGAGGCCCGATGCCCATCCCCTCCTCCCATCCCCTTCCTCTGGAGGACTCTGCCACTCGGCCTTGGGAGGGGTCTTCGCACTCCAGCACCCCTAGAGCGTGCTTCTGTGGATGGCCTCCAGCCCTGCTGGGGAGCCCCGAGACCCAGCCGTACTGCAAAGATCACGTGAGACCGGCTGCCACACTGGCCCCTTCCAGAAGGCAGCAGCGGGCCCCCTGGGTGCTCCCCGTCCTGGGGCCCCTGGTGGGCAGGGCACTGGTGCCTGCCCTCCTCTCCCAGCTGCTGGGGGCAGAAGCCACCTCAGTGCTCAGGGAGGGGGTCAGGAGCCCCTCAGCAGGCTGGCTGAACGGACTGGTGGACTGGCCGTGTGGAGCTGGTGCAGTCTCCATGGGGCCTGAGGAACGGGGCCGGTGCTACTGTCATGGGCCAGGGCTGAGCCCTACACGGGGGCGGCGTACACACCATTCTGGGCACAGCCACTGCCCAGGCTGGGACAGTGTGGACGGGCAGATTCTGGGCCAGCTGCGCCCCCTGGCAGACGAAGAAGAGGAGGAGGAGGAGGAGGGGGCTGAGGCCGTCTGCTCCCTGGGGCCCGCCTTCCCTGAGATGGTCTCCCAGGAGCTGCGGCTGGCCTCCTTCCAGGACTGGCCGCTGTCCTCCTCCACCTGCCCCACACAGCTGGCTGAAGCCGGCTTCTTCTACACAGGTGAGTAGAGGGACCTGCTACGGGGCTGTGCCCCATACCCCACAGCAGGGAGCATCTAGGCCTCTGGGAGCTGGGGACCCTGCAGCCCCTTCCACAGCCCCTGAGCCTCCTGGGGCCCAAATTCAGAGTGTGACAAGTCCCTGGGGTGGGGTGGGGGGCACAGCAAGGGGTCTGCAGGCTGGGTGCACTCAGACTTGGGCGGCTGGCAGGTAGAGTCCACTGCTGAGGGGATGGGCAGGAAGAAGGGGTGAGGGGCTGGTGTTTGATGGGGGTGTGGCATCTGTCTAGTGTTCCCTTACCGGGACCTGTGTCTATTGTGTCAATGGACATGTTTGGGGCAGATCATGGGTGGCTGGCCACAGTCCATCCTAGGCTCGGGGAAGGTTTTTCTAGGGCTTTTCCACCAGCCGGCTTGCTGGGGCCCAGTCTGCACCTCTGCTTCCTGGTTTGAATCTGGGCTGTTGGCCCTGGCACAGTGGCCCCTTTCCCTGGTCCCATGCCCTGCATGCTCCATGTTCCACTGAGGGAGGAGCAAACAGGATTTACTGGGTGGGGGTAGGTGGGCAGCTCTGTAGGCGGGAGGTTGGTTTGGGGTGGTGGGTGCATGCAGGGAGCCTCTCTTAGAGGTCTCATGGCAGGGTGCCCATACTGCCCCCAGTCTGTGGTCTGTGCCCCAGAAGATGTAGTTCATCTGCAGGGAGGTGGAGGGATGTTCCACGCCCCAAACGGAGTGTGCTTCTATCTGCATAGTGGCCCCATGTGCCCCAAGTCTGTGGTGCAGAACTGCCTGGTACCAGAACCGCCTTGGTTGCTCCAAGCCCCAGGCTCTCCCGCCCCTCCCCCACAATATCTGCAGCTCTGCCAGTGCTGAGGTACCCGCGGCCCCAGGCTCCCGCTCTGCCAGAATGTTCTCCTTTGGGCTCTGCTTGCTGTCCGCCCATCTCATTTGTTATTCATGAAATAACTGGCCAGGTGAGGGAGCAGAGGGCAGAGGCTCTGTGCCCTGACCCTCCCCGGTGGGGTCAGTGGGGCACCGTTTCTGCTCCTCTCAGGCCCTCAGGACCAGGTGAGGTGCTTCTTCTGCTGTGGGGGGCTGCAGAGCTGGGAGCGTGGGGACGACCCCTGGACTGAGCATGCCAAGTGGTTTCCCAGGTAACAGCCCAGGGATGGTTCCTGGAATCTGACATTAGCAGCTACCACCTGGCTTGGGCCCTGCAGAGCTCTGGGTGGTCAGGGCCTCCCACTCCCCTCCCCTTCCTACAGTCTCAGAGTAGGGGCAGCCCCCCAGGTGGCACTTCCGGCCAGGGCTGGCCCACCAACTGGCTCCAGTCGGCGCCTCCTTTGGAGGAGAAGTGCTTCCTCCGAGGCTCTTCCCCTGATGCTTGGCAGGGGCTATTTCCAAAACAGTGTTTCCAGTCAAGCACCCAGGGAGCCCTGCCTCCTTCCAAGGGGCGAACGGGAGAGAAGGCTGTGTTCTAGGTTCTCCCAAGGACTGGAGGGTCTTCTCTGACAGCCAGTCTGTGGGGCATCTGAACTCACTTTCTTTAGGTGTGAATTCTTGCTCCAGTCAAAAGGAACGGGCTTTGTCCGCAGTGTCCGGAGCTCAGACTCCCACCTGCTTGGGTTCTGGGTGAGTCTCCTGCCTCTCTAAGGCTAATGGGGGGTGGTCAGTGAGGGTCCCTCTCGCCTTTGTCCTCCATGAACTCTGACACAGATATTCTCTGCCTCCTTTCAGGACCCGTTGGAAGAACCAGGAGATACCGCCTCCACAGGTGAGCCGTGTGATGTTGCCTGAGCTCTCCCTGGGCCCCTGCAGTCTGCGCTGTGCTGAGGCCATTGGGTGGCCGGAGCCCACTGGACAGCAGGGGGCACAAAGCCTGCTTGGCCTGGGGGGAGGTACACCCCCTTCTCTCTGCTCATCCCTCTGGGCCCTGTCACCCTGAGCACCCAGTGCACAGTGCCTTCAGCCCTACAAGCAGTCTCCATGAGCCCTGGATACAGTCAGGAGACCTGGGACCTGCGGGAGGTGGGAGCAGGCAGGGAGGGGCTGGGTAATGGGCATTGTCATCAATGTGCTGTTCCCCCCCTTCCTCATGGGCCCACAGCTCCTGTCCACGGGGCCCCTGATCTGCCTACACTCAGAAGGGACACCCACCTTGAAGGCACGGAGGACTCAGGTTCGAGTGGGACCCCCGGGTAGGGGGAGGGAGGGGATAGCTAAGGCCACACTCCCAGCATCTGGATCAAAGGGGTGGGGTGGGGTGGTGTCCAGACCCAGGGCTGTGCAGTGTGCTCCTGACTCTGCACGCCCCCCAGGAAGCAGGAGCCCCGAGGAGCAGCTGCAGCGCCTGCAGCAGGAGCGCACCTGTAAGGTGTGCCTGGACCGCCCAGTAGGTGTGGTCTTTGTACCCTGCGGCCACCTGGTCTGCCCCGAGTGCGCCCCCAACCTGCGCATTTGCCCCATCTGCCGATCACCCATCCACAGCTGTGTCCGCACCTTCCTGTCCTAGGCCAGGTGAGCACACTGGGGAGGCCTGTGGTGCCCGAGACCCCAACCCGGACCACTACTGGCAGCCTCCTCCCTGGCTGATGCAGGCCTGGTGTTCTCACACCTCCCCCTTGATCCCCCACCCTCCCTGGATGCCCAGGTGTTTCTGGGAATCCGTAATCTCAGCAGCCTGCTGAATGGCACTCCAGCATCTCTTTGCTGCCCTCAGCTAGCCTGCCCCCAGTGGAGCCAGGGCTGGAGGGATCCATGGATGGGGGGGACATGAACCTCTGATTATCCAAGCCTTCCTGTACCTTTCTAGGGGTCTGAAGAGGGCCCTCAGAGTCTTCCAGGGGTTAGCAGTGGGGGGGGGGGAGCAGCATCACCGGAGCTCCTGGGGGCGGGGTATCCTGATCCTGACTTCCCTGCTCCCTCTCCCTCCAGCATTGAGCTGCCCCAGCACGCCTGGCATTTACTGGGTCCAGGGGCCTTCCCCTCAGACCAGAGTGGGCATGAGTTCCTGCCTGAGGTCAGCCAAGACCACTGAGTCAGCGACCAGCTCTGACCATCCGGAATCCCGGACAGGCACCAAGGCCGCAGGAGGGAGTATGGACAGGTGGGGGTGGCGTGGTTTTACTGGACTTAGTTTGGATATTTTGAAGATTCTCAATAAAGCAGTTTTCCTGAGGCTCTGGCAGCCCTGTCCTCACACTCACCAGCAGGGGCCAGCTCCGAGGGCTCGGCACCTCCGGCCACTTCTCCAAACTCCACCTTGGAGGGCTGGATCCTTGGGACCCCCTCACTGTCCTAGTGTTTGTGTTTGGGGCATCTTAGGGCCTTTGAGAACTGCCAAGCTCGGGACCACGTCTGACACCAGACTCTGGCATTAGGGCATGGCTGCCGCATCTTCATCGACTCTGGTGCCTTGGGGGTTCTACTTCATTGGGTCTTCTTATGAAGACCCTTCAGGCCTCAGTCTCTGGTGCCTACAGTCTGGGAAACATGGGCCATGCAGTGTGAGTGCATGTTTAATGGGCCCCACAGCCATAGGATGCAGCTGCGTGTGCTCACTCAACCAGACTGGGTGCACTGTCCCAGCTCACTGGCCCCCTGGCCAGCCCCCACAGGGCACCACAGAGCGTCTCGGGCAGCAGTCCCCAGCCTGGTGTCTGGCTGGTGGCAGCCAGAGCCCAGCAGTGGGAGGAGACAGAGGGATGGAGTTTTCTTTCTTTCATCTTGTGGGGTTTTTTTTTTAAGAAAAAAATTACAAAATCTTTCAATGCTGCAGTGGCCACAGCCTTGTCCTGCCCATCTATCTCCCTGGTGTTCAGCCATTTGAACTGGCTAAGGCCTGGGGCACTCTGGGCAGGGAGTGAGGGGTCTGCAGCCTGAGCCCTCTGTCAGTGGGTGGTGGTCACAGCAGGTGGTCACAACAGAGTTGGGATGCTTCCTCACACTGGCCCGTAGGGGTAAAGTGGTGGTCAGGGGTGCCGGTGGGGTGGGGGCTTCACCCCTCCCCCCTGGAGAGCTGGAAATCCATCAGGGGGCTCTGGCCATTGGCAGCCCAAATGATGACAAGATGGTGAACCCAACTGCAGAGCATGTCCTGTGGTGATGGCAGAGAGGAGGGACAAGGGCTCTCAGAGGCAGGAAGATACCCCAGACACCCGCGTGGCAGAGGGCAGGGCTGTGCCTTCTGGAAGGCTTTTGCCCAGGCTCTGGTGGTCAGAGGCTGGCTCCCCAGCAGCTGACTCCCTGTGGTGGCTCAGCACGGGGGCTGGGAGTAGAGCGAAAGGCTTCATCACCAGGGGTCACTGTCCTGCCCCCAGGCTCCCAGCTAGAAGTACAAACCTGCAAAGGTCCCATCCAGCCTGGCGGGGGGAGGCTTGGCCCGGCCCCCAGGCAACATAAGGGGAGCCCCCTTCAGAGGCCTGGATGACCAGCCATTAATGCCGGTGAATGCTGCCCTGCCTGTGGGCTGGCAAGGGCTGTCCCCTCTTGAGGTCTCCGTTTCTTTGTAACAGGAGGTGGACCCCTGCCACCTCTGAGGGCCTTGAACCCACGGAATAGAAGGGTGGAGCCTGTCCAGAAGCCCAGAGTACCAGAGACAGCCAGATGCTTTGCCAAGTGAACTGCCAGTCCCCCTCTGAGCTCCACATTCAGGAGAACACACAGGCAGGGCCAGAGCAAAGGCCCACTCGGAAGGATGGGCTAGCAGCCTAAGGCCTGGTGGGCAATGCCCCAGGCAATGCCCCAGGCCCTGCTTTTTGGGAGAGACGTCTGACCTTCAGGGACAGGACACCCCACCCCAGTTTTCCAGCATCACTAAGACCTGGAGACATGCAAGTTGTCCTCCGTGCCTCCTGGGCCTGCCCCAGGCCCTCTGCTCGAAACAGGCTCAATGCTGACTCTACTAATGTGATTTCTACAGACTTGTTCATCTCCTGTTGGAGTCAAGCTGCACAGGGAGCCCTCTGTGTCCCCTATATCAGCCCAGAGTCTGGCATGAAAGTAGAAAGGGTGGATGGGTGGACGGATGGACAGATGGATGGAGGATGGCACCTGGTGGCCTTGGGTAACCGCACTGGGCCGGTTGAACCACAAGGAGTCTTGTTGGCTATACTTACAAGTACACCTGCTTGAACAAGAAGTGGGAAGGGTTTTCATTGACATGGTAGAGAAGAAATGGATCAAATCCACCAATGAAATCAACTGAAAGACATCAAGACCCAAATAAAACAAAGCCCAAATGATGGACAAGATGGTGGGATGGAGAGCCCAGCTGCAGAGCACGTCCTGTGGCGACAGCAGAGACGAGGGGCGAGGGCTCTCGGGGAAGGAAGACACCCCAGCCCCTCCCAAGTTCAGAACCCCAGACTGCCCAGGCCCAGGAGGTCTCTCACTGGGGATGAGGTGGTGGCAGGACTTAAACAGGTGGAACAAGGGAAGTGGGTCCCAGCCCCAGGCACAGGCTTCCTCCGTCCTCAGAACGTGGTTAGTGGGACGGAGCAGAGATGGCAGCTGATGCTGTGAGACCTGGTGGGGCAGAGGCCAGGCTGCTCTGCAGGGCACGCCCTCACCACTGTGCTCACAGACATCCATCACCAACCTAGGGAGTTCGGGTCTGCAGGGCCAGGGAGTGGCTGGGACTTGATGGCAGGTGGCTGGGCTGAGCTGGTGGGTGGCCATGGCTGGGGCCTACTGGTGGGTGGTTGGGCTGTGCTAGTGGGTGGCTGGGGCATGCTGGTGGGTGGTCAGGCCAAGCTGGTGGGTAGCCACATTTAATACATTTCTCCTCTGGGGGCTGGTTCCCACCTTAAGCCACTTTAGTGCAATCAAAAAGCAACCGCCCTTTGTTGCTTCTCTAGCAGCCAGGGTGGTCCCAGCTGTGTCCACGCTTGCCCGGTGCACAGGCATGAGGATCAGGGTACAGCTCTTAGAGCCCCCATGAGGATGTGAGCCCTGGTTCCTTAATGTGGAGTGTCACCCGCACTCAGATTCCACAACCCATGGCCTCCTGACTCCTGGAGACAGATCTCTACCTATGCTCAGCTCTGACCCCAGGAAGGGCTCCATCCTCCCCAGGCACCAACCCCCAGGAGGGCTCTGTCCCTGGTGCTGATTCAGACCCTGGGGGGGCTCTGACTCAGGGAGATGGTTCTGACCCCCCAGAAGGTTCCCATCACAGGGGCCCTTAGCTGGGGCTCCCACCTCCCACCTCCTGCCCCTCTTTGATTTGTCCTACTCTGCAGGGTGTTGACAGCTTCTTGTTGAAACCAGGAGAAAGAGTGGAGGAGGAGGGAAAATGCTTCGAGAGCCCAGGCCAGTGCAGGAGGCCCCC